TGCAGTCCTTTGAAATAAATTCTTCTGGGGGAGGGGCAGGTGTCCACGTAGTAGTTGGGATTGGGGCCGGCCCCTCAACCTCTGCTCATTTTTAAATTGGGTTGTCTTTCTTTGTTGTTGAGTTGTAGGATTTTTTAAAAACATATTCTGACTCATAAACATTTATCAGATATAGGATCTCCAATTTTTTTCTATTCTGCAGGTTGTCTCTTACTTTATAAAGTCCTTTGATGCACAGAAGTTTTTAATTGTGATGAAGTTCAGTTTATCTATTTTGTCTTTTGTCGTTCATGCTTTTTGCGTCATAGCTGAGACTCTGTGATAAAAATCTGGACCCTGGTGCACAGCAAAGATCTCCTTGGATTTGGGTCTTTAGAGGTTTCGGGTCCTCGTTTGATGGGGCATCAGAGCTCATTGCTCTATTGTGCTTAGTGCTTCTTTCAGTTTCCTAGTTTGTTGCATAGTGCCTGGGATCTTGCAATCATTCACCCCTGGCATGACACTTGGTCTTTATTTGCTTGGAGCAAGAGAAGAAGGAAGGGAATCAGGAATAGGACATGGAATGTGTGCCTCCATGAACAGCCATCTCCTTGGCCATGAGATTAGAACTGGATTTTATCTGGCTACCATTAATGTACATTTTGATCAAAGATTTTATCAAAGACTCCTGATCCAAAAGGGTAAAATGAAGAACAAAATTTCAAATTCTCATGGATCCCAGACTTTCTGGAGCTTTGGAGAGTAGATGATCCCTAAAACTATTGCCCTGAGATCATCTTTAAACTTTAAACAAACAAGCAAACAAAAATCCCCCCCAAACCCTGAAGTCTTCTTAGACCCAAACAGGAGTTTAGCTGAACTAGTTAAAAAAGGTCTGTTCTGAGCATTGTGCTGGAGGATTGGAAACAGGGTCACAGAGAGAAACTGAGAAGTGAAGCTACATTGTGGGGATTGGACTCAGTGACATGGAACAAGCGGTCTGTGGATTGTTGAATAGAAACCTGATTCGCTTTGTTAACCTTCACCCAAATCACAATAAAAAAAATTTTTTAAAGAAGGAATGAAAAAGCACAGTCTCTATGGAATCAAAATGACAACAACTCAAAAGTTAGATAGGTTATCTTAGAGGGCAGTGGGTTGGTGTTAATTCACGAAGAAAAGTCCAGAAAATGAAATGAGCATCAATCTTTAGGGCAACTTGAAAAAGAATAAAATCAATGCCATGGAATTGTACATGTAAAAAAAAACCCCACAAAATCACTGTCATGGAGCTGATTTGGCTCACAGTCAGTCACCCACCCTATAGGACAGAATAGAACTGCCCCCTTTGAGTTTCTGATGTTGTAAATCTTTTGTTATGGCTCAAAGTCTGTATCGATGGCAATGGTAAGGCAAGAGGGTATGTCAGCTGCTTCTGAGGCAGGCGTTCAGAACCTAAGTGGCATCCTTGGAAAAAGCTGTGTTGTCAATCTTTAGCACAGCAGAACGCCTCCTCTTTCACCCTAGGTTCAGGCTCTCACCTTGGGGTTAGCAGCCCAATTTGTAATCCACAATACCTCCCTAATGGTACAAAGAGAACCCCGTCAATTGGCATAGGTTTTGCTCTTGGTGCTCTTAACACCAATGGATAGAAATGAAATAAATATTTCCTATCTAAATTCCAGTTGTAGTGAATATTAATTAGCTCCTATTTACAAATAGCGACTTGAATTAAAAGCCAAAACCAAAACTCATTGCCATTGAGTCAATTCTGACTCACAGTGATCCTGTAGGCCAGTGGTTCTCAACCTTCCCAATGCCGTGACCCCTTCATACAGTTCCTTATGTTGTTGGTGACTCCCAACCAGTAAATTATTTTTATAGTTACTTCATAACTGTCATTTTGCTACTGTTATGAATCTGGCAACCCCTGTGAAAGGGTCATTCGACCCCAAAGGGATCGCGACCCACAGGTTGAGAACCAATGCTATAGGCCAAGATCAACCTGGGCACGTGGGGTTCTGACACTAACTTTCTCCCTTGGATCAGTTAGTGGTTTTGAACTGAAGACCTTGCAGTTAGCAGCTCAACGCATAACCCACTATACTACCAGAGCTCCTCAGCGTGAATTAGCTTGAGTTAAAAGGGAAAATATACTGCTTCACAAAGTTAAAAAAAAGTGTTGGATAAATGTTGCTACTTCAAAAAAATCTTCCCAATCTCTTTGCTATGCTGCTTTTCAAGAAGTGGAGCCGAATTCCCCTAATGAGTGACTTGCTTCTAACTAATCAAGTAAGGCAGTAATGACAGTGTGTGACCTTGGAGACTAGGCTATAAAAGACTATATGTCTCTTGCTTCATTTACTCTGAGGAAATTAGCTGGCTTATCATGAGGACATTCAAGTGGGCTGTGAAGAGACCAGAATCAAGCTTTCTGGTAAAAGCGAAGAAGGAACTAAGGCCTTTCGCCAATGGTCACCTTTGTGAACCTTCTTGGAAGCAATTCCACCAGCCCCAGGCACACCTTTAGATGACAGTAGTACTTGTTGATATATTATTGCAACCGTATGAGAAGCCCTGAGTCAGACTTCTCGCTACGTTACTCCTGAACAGTTGATTCAGGGAAATGGTGGGCTAATCATTGCTATATTTACAGCTCTCATGGCAGAAGGAGCCCTGGTGAAGTCGTGGCTACTGCCCTGAACTGCTAACTTACCCTTACTGAAGTTTGAGTGTGCCCACCAGCAGACCCTTGGCTTTCTGTTCCTGTAAAGATTTACAGTATGCAGACCCAGAGGACAGTTTTACTCTGTCCTGAGCAGTGGTTCTCAACCTTCCTCATCCCACGACCCTTTAATACAGTTCCTCATGTGGTGGTGACCCCCCAACCATAAAATTATTTTCATCGCTACTCTCATAACTGTAATTTTGCTACTGTTATGAAACATGTAAATATCTGATATGCAGGATATATTATTATTGTTACAAATTGAACATAATTAAAGCATAGTGATTAATCACAAAAACAATATGTCATTATATGTTGTGAAATATTTATTTCTAATGATAAATCAATGAAATTTTGCCTTGAAGCATGGTGTAGCATGGATAACAGTCTTAATATAACAACAGTAAACTACATTGCTACATTTTGCCATGGTATTTGTAAAAAGCCAATGTTAGTGAGAAGGTTGAGATAGCTTCTTTTTTAAAAAAAATATCATTTTATTGGGGGCTTGTGCAACTCTTATCACAATCCATCCATCCCTCCATTGTATGTCAAACACATTTGTACATTTGTTGCCCTCATCATTCTCAAAAGAGATAGCTTCTTTCTCACCAGATCAGCACATGTTATGTGGTTGATCTGCCTGGAGACAAGATAGGAGCTAGAGGAGTGGTGTCTCAATTCGGTACCTAAACCATTGGAAATATGTGAGGAGACCCCTGTGAAAAGGTCGTTCAACCTCCAAAGGGGTCGCGACCCACAGGTTGAGAACCACAGTCCCAAAAGGTCACTATAAGTCAGAATTAATGGAATGACAGTGGTTTTTGTTTGTTTGTTTTGTTCTACTCTAAAATGGAAATTTTGTTTTTCCTCATAAACAAAAACTATTGTTTTTCCTTTTAAATTTTGCTAAATCAATAATGTGTTTCCCTTTTACAAATGCATACTGTTGTCACAAATATTATACAGTATATATGAACCATTTAAAATTTTTGAACGTTCCTCAGAGATTTAAACTTTAATGATATTCTCTTCCATTCTCTAATCCCATTTCCCTGAGGTACCCAGCGATACTGATACTCTTCAATTCTATGTTAATATATAAAAGCCCTCATTTATTATTCCTTTCTCCTTTCTTCCTTCCCTTAATTTCTTCCTCTTACAAAATACAGTAACGCGCCACCCATACTATTCTGAAACTTGCTTTGTTCGAGGAACAATGTCATGGACTTACAAACAAAATTTGTATGTAGTGATACAGTTGGTTGTACACTGGGTTGTACAAGGTTGTACAAGGTTAGCAGTTCAATTCCTCCAGTGGTTCTTTGGGAGAAAGATGAGGCTATCTGCTCCCTTAGAGATTTGCAGTCTTTTTTGGGGGGGGGGAATTCATATTTTATTTTTTAATTTTTATAAATAATTTTATTGGGTGTTCTTACAGCTCTTATCATAATCCATATATCAATTGTATCCAGCTCATTTGTACATATGTTGCCATCATCATTTTCTTATCACAATCCATACATACATCAATTGTGTAAAGCACATTTGTACATTCATTGCCCTCATCATTCTCAAAACACTTGCTCTCCACCTAAGCCCCTGGCATCAGCTCATTTTTCCCCTCCCTCCCTGCTACCCCCTCTTTTATGAACCCTTGATAATTTATAAATTATTATTTTGTCATATTTTGCCCTGTCCGACGTCTCCCTTCACCCACTTTTCTGTTGTCCGTCCCCCAGGGAGGAGATCACATGTAGATTCTTGTAATCGCTCCCCCCTTTCCAACCCACTCTCCCTCTACGCTCCCAGTATTGCCACTCACATCACCGGTCCTGAAGGGATCATCCGCCCTGGATTCCCTGTGTTTTCAGTTCCTATCTGTACCAGTGTACAAGCTCTGGTCTAGCCAGACGTCCAAGGTAGAATTCGAGTCATGGTAGTGGGGGAAAGATTTACAGTCTTGTAAACCCACAGAGGCAGTTCCAGTCGGATGCCGAGTCACAGTCCACTCGATGGCAATGAGTTATTCGCAAATTTGCCGGGACAAGGCCAACAGGTTGGAAGAGAAAGAAGAAAATGTCTGTTCACATAAGGGAACGTTAAAGAGCAGTTCTCGCTCCTGTGACAGCCACCATTCTGAATTGGAATGGAGTGGATGGCAATGAGTTTGGTTTTCGCTGAGCGCTTCTCAAAGAGGAACTACAACTCCCAGAATTCCACTTACGCGCACACCGGTCCATCCCCCCACCTCGCCGCGACGCCTTCTGGGATATGTAGTGTGCGTCTTCCGCCCTGCACGCTGCCCTTGCGGGGCATGGCTTCCTCCTTTGGGGACAAACTTGACCAGAGAAAAGGAATATGGAGAAGAAAATGAAATTCCTGGGATAGGAGGGTTGAGCGAGAGAGGTCAGAGCCCCCGGTCACGTCGCTTGATGGGGACCGGGAGCAAACCTGACTTCTGGGCCGTCGTAACCTACCTTCCTGGGGTCTTCTGGGGAGTTGCTGGCTTCGGGAAGATGAGGTCAGGTAGAGGCGGCGCGTTTTCTTCTGACACACTCTGCACATTTTTCCGACCGGGACACAGGCCAGTCTTGGAATCCGGGCCTCCTTCTTGGAGGTGGCTCCGGGCTCCGATCAGCAGCGCGGGAGAGGGCAGGCGTGCACCCTCGCCCTGTGCCTCTCCGGGAGGCTCCCAGCCATCCCGTCATTGATTAGCCTGGAAGACGCGTGCCATTTGCACCGTGCGCCAAGTTTACCGTGCACGAGGCGCGTTCACCAGGGGCCGGGCGGGGCAGTGGTTAGCGCGGGGCTGCTTCCCTAAAGACGTGCAGTTCCAACCCCCCAGCCTCCCTGCAAGAGCAAAGTGGCAAGTCTGCGCCGCTTTACAGTCTTGAAACCCTGACTCAGCCTTGTAGGGTCGCTATGAGTGGGATCCACTCCAGGGCCATCAATTTTTGGCTTATATTTGTTCTCAAGTGGTACCAGTGCCTCAGTCTCAAAGCCCTTCAGGTGGCCAAGTGATGTACTCAAAGTCACTCACCTCTGGACAGAGCTAGGGATTCCTTTTTATTCTAAAGACTTGACACCTAACTGCACTTTCAATTGTGGGTGCAGGGCTTTTTGTGTTTGTGTGACCTAGGGCAGCATGGGTCAGGATGTAGTACTGCTTGCCAATATGGACTCCCGGTTTTTTGTTCTGAACAAACTCCTTGGCAGAGCCCAAGAGAGGGGTCTAAACTGCATTCTTTTAATAATAATGATAGAATTGCCGCTTGACATAATAAAGCTATTCAGTTGGAAAGAAGCAAAGACTAGGGTTGTTGTTACAGCGTCACTCTTTGAATCTAAGTTTCCCCATCTGAGATGGCAATGATATTCCTACTGTCTCTCGGGTTGGTTAGAGAATATGTTGACTTTATGTATTTAAAAAGCCCTTTGTAAATTGTCATTATGAATCAGAAGTGATTAGATGGCAGTGAGTTTAGTATTTGGGTGTGTAAATTGTATTATGTCACAGAAGTGTTGGCTGCTAGGATTTTCTAATCATCATTTCTCAATTTCCCATACATTTTTATAATTTTAAAGACAATTTATTCTCTTTTATAATTGTCTTTGATTCAGTTGAGTTGGGTTTTTTTTAATTCTTCTGTTTTTATGGTCAAACGTGAAAATTTTAGGTAAATGTCTGATTTAACAAACATTTTAAAGATAGGGTACAGAAAGAAGTCCCTTTCCTTGGGCATTTAATTTTGGATCCAATCTTGCTATGTAGTTCAGACTTAAAGTCTTTAGTTAATGCAAAGAAAATGGTTACTCTACTTTGAATTTTGGGATTAAATTATTATTATTATTATTACACAGTTTAATTGATCTATATATAGTTCATGTACCATACATACAATTCTATGATCTGAATATACTAAAAAGCATTGTACAGTCATTACCACAATCAACTTGGGGATGACTTTATTATCGATCTAAGTATAACCATGGTAAATCAATCCTTTTACAGAAGCTGCATGTTGGGATGGGATTCGTAATCATCAGAATGGAAGCAAAATACCTGAAGAAAAATCAGTTCTTCTTAAACCAGTGTATTTCACCTGGCTACTAGTTTCAGGTGATTTTCTTTAAGGCAACTGTGATGTAATTGAAGAGAAAACTCTTTTCTAGACTTACTGGTCACAAATATGCAGCGTCTAAGAACTATTGTGCCATGCTTCTGGAGAGTATTTCAATTGCGACCCTCAAGTTGTGAAATGTTAACTAGCCAGATGAATAAGTGTACAGATGAAGAGCAAATATTTGATCTTATTGAAAGGAACAAAGCCACCCTCTCAGAAAAGCAAGTGGGATGTGCATTTAATATCCTTTGGGAGTTCCAAAAGCAGAAGACCAGCGTGTTGAAAAGTGTTGCGTACGTCAAAGACCACTCCCAGTTTCTGACCCTCCGTAATGTGACTACAGATAAAGTAGAACTGATGACCGATGACTCCCTGGTGAATGTGTTGTACATCATGCAACAGTAAGTGATTTGCTTTTCAATTGTCTTGAAAATGGTCATTTATTTTCAGAAAAAGTCTCTGTAAAGCAAAAAGCATGTTCTTCCCTTCACCCTGCAATAATAGTTTCCCTGATAACCCTGATAACTTTGAAGAAGTTTGAAGGATATGCTGTGAAACTGATGGTGGTAGTTTAATTGTATGACTGGAAGTAGAATCATTTGTGAAAGTAGAAATTATTCAGCCCTATGTAACTGGCTTCTTGGAAAATTGGTAGAAATGTGGTTACTAAAGAAATTGCGGGTAAGATAAGTACAATTAGACTTCAGTTTACTACATAACAATAGTAAACTGTGCCTGTGTTGACCTTTGATTTCTCATAACTAAATGAATGACAGGTATGCATGCTGGTTCACTAGATTGTACCCAACAGTAGCTCTCAATAACTAAGAAAAGTAAGTAGAATTAGTTCACAGACTAATTTAAACTTGGTAATAATGTTTTCAAATTATATCCCGTGAATTGTCTAAAGGCATTGCATTAAAAAGAAAAGGCAAGGGGTCTTCCTCAGTATCAAAGGAAAACCCAGAACAATTTGACAATTGATTTTATGTTTATGTATATATCTATAATACTTATTGTTATTGAAAGTATAATGGAACAGAACTCTTGTATGCTGGTGACACAATATTTATTAAGACTTTTAAAAACACTATTGACCGAATTTTGCTTCAAAGATTGAGTGTAAGTAATCTGAGATACATTTAAAAGATTCTCATATATGAGATTTTCATCACAACATTATTGATACTGAAAAAGCAAGACTCCAATAGGTGATTGTTTAACCGAATGATGTTATATTCATATTGTGGAATAATATACAATCACTAAAAATCGTATCTTGCAAAATATTTAATGATGTAAACAAATGGGGACATACAACTGCCCTGGCACTTTGCATACTGAAAATGCAAGATACAAAAATGTGGAAGCTCGACGTGTAGTTCACTTAGATGTAGGGACAAAACTACAAAGGACTGCTTCACAGTGTTAATGGTGGATGTTTATGAGCAGCAGGGTTGTAAATGGCTTTTATTTCCCTATTAAAGTTTTTTCTGTATTTTAAAACTTTTTTTTTCTACAGAAAGTTTTGTGTTCAGGAAAAGTGGTACCTGTTACATGTTTGCTAGGCTGTTCCAGAACATCAAAATAGAAATAGACCAGAAATAAGGGCTGACCCTGAAAGAGAAAAAAAACTTGAGGTTTTATTTTACATGGTAACTCTTTCTCTGTGTGAGTTTTTAATGATTTGTAAATGTTTGCTTATCCGGAATTTGTTCTCTTGCTTCATTTTGAGATTTGGTGTTGAGCCCCATGACCCTCTAATTGAAGCTCTCGTTATGGAAGCCTGCAGGAGACTGGAAAGGCAAGTACGTTGGGTGCATCATCTAAATTCCCCATCATTTAAGATCCATGTTTTTCAGGGCTGCCACAGTGAAATCATACAGGAAAGAATAGGGAGCAGCTACCACCTCATCAAGCGTCCTTGAAAAAAATGCATTTGAACTCCCATTTGTTTGAGGGTTGTTTGTGCTTGTGTGTTTTGTCTTTGTGAGACAAAGAAATTATTAAAAATGATCTTTCCTCAAATTAAGTGCAGGGAGCATATCATTATGTGATTTCCCGCATAATGATATATTCAGAGACTAGCCTTTTTGAATCTTTTCTGGAAGAGCTCCTCCAGAAGGAGAAGATGTTCTGGTTGACTGGCCGGGTCAGTGAAAGGGAAAACCTAGGACACAAACAAGGACACCAGTTCGGTACTCGCTTCATCTTTGTGACGAAGCCATCAGCGGAGAGCCTCAGTGATACTAGAGGCGTGTAAAGAAAGCAAGTTTCAGAACAATTGGTGTGGAGAAAATTCAGAACTAATTTCTGTACAATACACAGCCATATTTTCAGCATGCCCCCATAATTGATGATAATCTGGACAAACATGAAATCTGATTGGATATTCCCATTTTGAGTATAACCCTAAGTCCACTGCCATTTAGTTGAGTCCGCTTCACAGCAGCTCTGTATAACTCAGAGTGACGCTGTGTAGTGTTTTGGAGACCGTACGTCTTTGTGGGAACAGATGTCTCCTCTTTTTCATGTGGAACAGCTGGTAGGTTTGAAACCATGACCTGTGGTAAGGTGTTTGGGGTTTTTTGGGGTGTGTGTGGGGGAGCTCTCTATTTATAAATGAGTTGAGATTATAGCATAGCTCATTTTAGTAAAATTTCAGCTATTTCCTAAAACTTTGTATTCTTTAAGAATTCTGGATGGCTAAGCTCCATTATTAGTGGAATAAGGCAAACATTAGTGAGGAAGTTAAGGGAGAAAAGAGACAGAAAGATTAAAAATGAATACACAGAACAACTCTTTCTCTTACTCAACTAGAAACCAAGGTCAGAAAGGAAAGGATTGACCAGGAAAAAGAAAAAACCCAGCAGGCTAATTATTTGCAACAGAGAGGAACAGACACTCCTATATTGTGCTTTTTAGTGCTTCTGAACACTAAAACCATGCGAAACTCTGACGGTTGTACTTATTTTTTGTTAAGTACGGTTGTGCTTATACATAGGCCTTTGTTTTAGGACCTGGATTAAGTTAATCACAGAATTGAACAGTTCTGTGATTTTGTTTTTCCTTTTGGTTCAAATATACACAGCAGATAAATCATACATCAGTTCAACCATGTGGGCATGTAAAATTCAATGACATTGGTACATTCTTCAAGTGTACTACCTTTCTCACGATCCTTCTCTGAGTTGTTTCACCATGATCACCATAAACGAACTCATTGCCCTTGTTGTCTAATGTTTCAAGGTACTGTTGTCACTTTATCTCATATAGATAATAAAAAAAACTTTTTCCTATGATTTAGATGAAGGTTGACAGAGCAGATCATCAGCTTTACGTTCAACGAGTTATACTTATTTTATTTCCACTCATCCATGCCAACCCTCTTGATGATTTTTTTTTTTCTTAAATCATTTTATTAGGGATGATTCTTTAAATGCTCATGGCAGACGTTCTTTACTCTTGGTGTTGGACTGATAACTACAAGGCTAGCCAGCAGCTCAACCCCACCACCCACTCCTTGGGAGAAAGATGAGGCTGTCTACTGCCATGACCATTTATGGTCTAGAAAACCCAGCATAAGAGTCAGTCACTGCAAGCCGGAATGGAACTGAAGGCATTAGTTGTCTTTTTAATTGTTTGGTTTAAAGATGGCTTCAGGGTATAGTTTCTGTTTTAGGTTTAAGGATTTCCTCAGGGTAACAGTTTTGGCCAACCTCAGTGGCTCCAGAAATTTTGGATTCCGTGAAAATTTGAAGTTCTGTTTCACATTTCCCTGTTTTGATCAAGGCTCTTCTCTAGAATCTTTCATCACATCATCAGTAGTGTAGCTGGGCACCCGTCCAGTTCTTGTGTCCTGACACAGGAAGTAATTGTTTACGGAGGTGGTTCGTGCATTCCAGTGCCTTAACCAATTCCTGACCTTCCATCTTCCTCTGCTGCTCCAAGAAAATAGGAATTTTGTACCTCAGATGGATATTCACAAGTTCTGAAGACCCCAGCACGGGACAGTGATTTAGGAGGTAGAACGGAACAGGAAAATTTACACGCGGCTAATTGATTGATTGCCCGATAGCCCTACAACTCCAAACCAAAGCAACAAACCCATTGAGGCATTTGGTGTCATAGACAGTATCGATAGTTCCTTGAGGAATTTTTAAAAAAGAAATATATATCTATTGTTGTCATTTTATATACCGTATATACTCAAGTATAAGCCGACCCAAATATCAGCCGAGGTACCTAATTTTACCACAAAAACTGCATTAAAAGTGTGCTGAAAAACTCGGCTTATACAAGAGTACATACCATAAGTAAGATCATATAATATGTGTCCTTTTGTGATTGATCATTTAACTCAGCATAATGTCCTTGAGGTAGATCCAGCTCTCTTTATGACTGAATAGTATACTATCGTGTGTATATATATCTCACATTTTGTAGTTCTGCAGATTTGGAGATGCTGCCAAATTTTGACAATTCACCTATTGAATGTCATTTTAATTAATCATATTTCTCTGAGGATAGTCAGGGTAATTGTAACTTTTTGTGAGTAATCTGAACAACCAGGTTTTTATGTTAAATTTGATCATTGTTGATAACAGGTCATAATTTCTAAATTTCTCTTTTAGGCATCAGGCAGTGTTATGTGTATTATGCAGCTTAAACAAATCATTGCATAACAGATTTTAAAATTTTACTATTTCTAAATAATTGAGCTGGAGACATATAGTTGTACTTCTCTAGAAAACCAGATAGTTTTTAAAAATTTTAATTCATTTCAAAATAACTCAGAATATAATTATATTTTTCTTTATGCCACTTTACAGCAATACTTTTATTTTTTCTAATATGGAATTATATACATTTTAAAACTCTAATTTGTATTCCATATATAGAATTCCTCAGAGTCATGGAATAAACATTAGTTCTGTTGTGTGTTTTTTTATGGCTTGTAAGCTAATATTTTAGTTACATAACAAATGACTTAATGATTTTGCTAAAATATCTGAATAAAAAAAATCTGAATTTATGTTGTAGAACTATGAGTCAAATCTCAAATGAGATGGATTATACAGAGTAGTACTATGTGATGGATTTAGCAAGGATAATTAACAAGAATTTGACATTCATATTTTTAAAAATATGATATAAGATTTTATATATTTATAAAAAGTAGGGAAACTAGTTTAAATAATTCCCATATACTATCTTCTAGTTTCAATCATTATCAACATATATCCCTCCCCTCAGTATATTTTCAGGAGTCCTGGTGGCATAGTGGTTACATGTTGGGCTGCTAACTGTAAGGTCAGCAGTTTGAAACCACTATCTGCTCTGCTGGAGAAAGATGAGGCTTTCCACTTTGGTAAAATGTTACAGTTTCAGAAACCCACAGTTCTACCTAGTCACCATGAACCAGAATTGATTCAATGGAACTGAGTTTGGCTTTGATTTTTCAGTATATTTTGAAATAATCCAAACCCACTGCCACTGAGTTGATTCTGACTATAGTGGCCCTGTAGGACAGATAGAACTGTCCCATAGGGTTTCCAAGCCTGTGAATCTTTATGGAAGCAAACTGCCACATCTTTCTCCCAAGTATTGACTGGTGTGTTTGAACTGCCAACCTTTCTGCTGCCAGGTGCCTAGCCATTGTGCCACCAGAGCTTTTCTTAGAGATAAGGACTCTTAAATTTATTTACATAACTGCAATTCCATTATGATGCTAAGTTAGTACCCAGCTAAGGTCAACACATTACATTTGGCCGCTAGGGATCCTTCGTTTTTTTGTTTTCTCCCCAACAGTTTGATTGTCATAAAATTCATACACGAAGCAACAAAGCCCACATGGAAGAAGCACACCAGCCTATGCAACCACGAGGTGTCGAAGGGATCAGGTGTAAGGCATCATCAGAACAAAAAATCTTACCATAGTGAATGATGGGGGGAGTGTGGAGTGGAGATCCAAAGCCCATTAGTAGGCCACTGGAGATCCCCTTGCAGAGGGGTCTCGGGGAGGAGATGAGCCAGTCAGGGTGCGATATAACAATGATGAGAAATACAACCTTCCTCTAGTTCCTAAAGTTTTCCTCCCCGCTCCCACTACCATGACTCGAATTCTATCTTGCAAGACTGGCTAGACCAGAGGAGGTACACTGGTACAGATAGGAACTGAAAATACAGGGAATACAGGATGGATGAGCCCTATAGGACCAGTGGTGTGAGTGGCAAAACAGGGAGGGTAAAGGGAGAATGGGTAGGAAAGAGGGAACCGATTACATGGAACTGTGTGTGACCTCCTCCCTGGGGGACAGACAACCGAAAAGTGGGTGAAGGGAGACGTCAGACAGGGCAAGATATGACAAAATACCCATTTGTAAACTATCAAGGGCTCATGCGGGAGGGGGGAGCGGGGAGGGAGGGGAAAAATGAGGACCTAATGTCGGTGGTTTAAATGGAGAGAAAATGTTTTGAGAAACGATGTACAAATGCGCTTTACACAATTGATGTGTGTATGGATTGGGATAACAGTTGTATGAGCCCCTAATAAAATGTTTAAAAAATAAAATAAAATAAAATAAAATTCATACAATTGTCATATAACTCACAAATCATTACAATTCAATAGTTTACTCACATCAGGAAGAGTTGTACCATCATCACCGCAATCAGTTTTAGTACAGAAAGCATTTTATTGAAGAATATCATATCAAACTGCACCAATTATGTTCATACAGCTTAATGAGTTCTCATCTACTGATTGACAACTTCTGGGCCACAGAGCTCAGAATAAGAAACGGAACACAGCTGGTGTTCCAGAAGTTCTCCCCATGTCTTCTCCATCACAGCCTCACCCTAAGAAGAGCCACTGTCTTGGCATCTAACAGTGGCGATTCATCTTCTTTTTATAGAATTACCCATTATGTGCTCCGCTGTGTAGGTCACTCAGTGTGCTTAGAAATTTCATACATGATATTGCATGTGAGTCAGTTTTTTCTTTTTATTGTTATGTAGGATGAAGAGGCTTCAAAAAGATGGTGGAAAAATTCCTTTCTCTTTTAATCCCATTTTTCCATGAACTTTTGAAACCCCCTTATATTCTGTTATAATAATATAGTAATTTCCTCATTGTACTCACTTCAAAAACTAGTAGATAAATGGTTGAAATGATTTTGAGCGATTTTCCCTTTTTGATCTCTAATACTCAACTTTTAAGCTATTAACATGTGCTAGTTTTATAATAGTAACATTTTCGAAAGAAACATACTTTATATATGTGAAGAGTGTAGGCAGTTTTTTGACTGCTTCTTATTGTTTGGCAACTGTGTATTATATATTTTAAACAAAAGTAAATGTTAATTATTTCTTTTGTGTATGTCATTTAATAGGTTTGATATTACTGTGCTGTCAAAATTTTCCTCTTGCCTGACAGATCAACATTTGAATTTTAGCCCACTAATGGGAAAAATAGCTGACATTGTGAATAGAAATTTGGAAACCATACAGGATTTAAGGTAATTAATCAGGGGCTTTGTGTTGTAATGGAAAGATCCTGGGTTTTGCGTGACACACACAGATTTGCCACTTCCTAGTTGTGTGACTAGGAGCCCTGGTGGTGTAGTGGTTCTCCGTTGGGCTGTGATACACATGGTTGGCAGTTTGAAACCACCAGCATCTCTGGGAGAAAGACTGGATTTTGTACTCCTATAAACAGTTACAGTCTCTGAAACCCACAGGCGGTTGCTATTGACTCAATAGCAGTGCGTCTCATTGTATTTCGAGTTGTGTGTCTAGGCTAATTCACTAAACCTCTTATAAGTCAGTATCCTCATCGGTAACAGGAGCATAGTAACATCTACTTAGCAGAGACAAGGAATGTAAAACCTTTAACACAGTGTTGCTGATAACGGTGAAGGTATTAGAGTTTACCTACATGCAAGCTTACTAGTTGGCTTACCAGAGTGTCAATGGTACTGGTAGCAGACATGGGAGCCCTGGTGCTTAGGTAAGCATTGGACTGCTAACTGCAAGGTCAGATGTGGGAAACCAAGAACTGAGAAGAGAGTGTATGTGGACAAATTCTCGATGCTCATATTTTAAGGAGTCTGGGAGGCAGATTCTGGGCGAGGAAGGCTTTCATGTTCGTGAGTTAAAGAGGTATTGCATCACATTCTCCTAAGTTAAAGTTAGTACCCATCAGTTGCTCCTGTAATTATGCCAGTTTTAAGGTTCTGCTTGCAAGCACGTGTTGCTTACAGTTTGCTTGAAGGTTACTGCCTGAAGGCTGTCTGCCATCAAGAGGCATCAGACCACCCCACCCTAAGTATGGCCCATACCTCTGATAAGGATCATAGATTGCTCCCCTGGAGAAGAGCTCAGGGACCCTAAGTTCAAGCCAGCTCAGAGACAGCCAAGGTTAAGCCTCCATCTTTACTCTAGAACCCGCCCATCTTGTTATGTATATGTCTTCCTGCCACAGGTATGCCCCTAGTACCTCCTTTTCCTGTTATGTTACACCCTCAGCACGTCTCCTTCCTGTTACGTGTTTGCCTCTAATACAGCCCCTTCCTGTTCTGTATGTGTATGATGTGGCTTGGGTGCCTGAGATTATATTAGTCTGTGAGAGAATACATTATTACTCCCTCACTCTAGTTCTGGGCACCATGGGAGAGGTGAGTACCTTCATGTCTGTTGTTTCTTTAATTTACCCTTCAATTACACAACCGCCCTCTAAGATCCATTCGGTTGTGGAAGCTAGTCCTCCACAGTCAGAGGTTCAAAGTCCTAGCCACTCCATGGGAGAAAGATGAGACTGCTCTCGTAAAGATTTACAATCTTGGGAACACTATATCGAGTTGCTATGGGTCAGAATTGACTTATTGTCAGTGGCTTGGTAGAAGGCATGAGACTTACATCAGAAACAAAGGCCTTTATTTCTCACAGTAATAGCAGAAGTTAGAATATCAGCATTTTCTTGCCTTCCTTCCCTGAGTTCCAGTTCCTTGAGTGGGCTGTGTTCCCAGAGAGGAATTGTGCATTTATGGAACTCCAGGTCTTTCACATTAGTCAGTGAGCATATTTGGCCCTTTGTGTCAGAGGGGACACTATCATTCTAAGCGGCTTGTGTACAAACATTTTTGAAAAATATAAGTTCTGAATAAATTTAGTGTTTCTGCTCGCAACTTATGTAAAAACTTGAGAAGCCCATGCAGAATGACCTTTTAATACGCACAGTGCCTGGAGCAAAGACGTTTCTCAGGAATTGAGAGCCCAGCATTTCACACTTCCAGTTGTGATACTGAATGACTCTATGGACAAAACATTGAATAATGCAGGGAGCCTCAAGAGAAGGCAGAAGTAACACATGAGTCACTGTACCCAAAATAATTGGTCGACATTCATCTACTTTAAGAGCTCGCACATCATCAAGAACTGACGGTACTCATGGAAAAAGGCTCAGCCGCGCTGGAGGTGTAAGTGAGAAACGAGGTTACAGAAATGGGAAGAATACCAATTGAAATGTTTCCCAAGAACTGATGCAGCGCTAGACGCATTCACTCTTCTTTTTTAAAAATCATTTTACTGGGGGCTCATACAACTCTTTTTAAAAAAAATCAGTTTATTAGGGGCTGATACAACTTTTATCACAATCCATATATATATCAGTTGTAAAGCACATTTGCACATTCTTTGCCCTCATCATTCTCAAAACATCTGCTCTCTACCCAAGCCCCTAGCATCAGCTCATTTTCCCCCTTTCTCCCCACTTCCTCATGAACCCTTGATAATTTATAAATTATTATGTCATATCTTACACTGTCTGACGTCTGCCTTCACCCACTTTTCTGTTGTCCGT